CTACATCTACATCTACATCTACATCTACATCTACATCTACATCTACATCTACATCTACATCTACATCTACATCTACATCTACATCTACATCTACATCTACATCTACATCTACTTCTACATCTACATCCTACACCTACATCCACATCTACACCTACACCTACACCTACATCTACATCTACACTTTCGCATTGGTTTTGCTTTTGCTTTTGCCTTTGCCTTTGCTTTTGCTCTTGCCTTTGCTTTTGCCTTTGCCTTTGCTTTTGCTTTTGCTGTTGCTTTTGCTTTGCTTTTGTTTTTGCTTTTGCTTGGTTTTGCTTTTGCTTTGCCTGCGCACAGACACACACACGCATGTTTTTGCATTCGCTCACCGGGTGTGCTTGGGAATGCTCCGGATCCGGCTTACACCGCACGACTTGGCATTGAGCAAGGTTGTGCAACACTTGTTACACCGAACGTTCCTACGAAACTGTACAGCAGCAGCAACTCCCAGATCGGTGCAACTATATATCTGTATATATATATATATAGAGCAGCAGTAGTGGATGCTGTGCTGCGCTATGCTATGCTATGCTCTGCTCTGCTATGCTATGCTATGCTATGCTATGCTGCGCAATGCTAGGCTGGGCTAGGCTAGGCTATGCTATGCTATGTTGCGCCATGCTATGTTGCGCTATGCTATGCGATGCTATGCTATGCTATGCTATGCTTTTGCTTTGCCTTCGCTTTTGCCTTCACTTTTGCCTTTGCTTTTGCTTTTGCTTTGCACCCAGTGAGCGCATCCGGGGGAACCGCGCGTTTGCTTTTACCTTTGCTGTTGCTTTTGCCTGGGTCCCAGGGGACTGTGGGAACCGCCTGGGGCGGTTTGCACTGCCCGGCCCCTTTAAGCCAAGCGAGTGAGAGCCTTTCTAGGCAGAGCCTAGGTAGGGAAAAAACTGGTGAGCATCCTCGATGCACGTCTGCAGCTGCTCTTGCACAAACTTCTGCGAGCCAACAACTGAACCGTCTAGATCGTCGACCCACAGCTTCTCGCTCATACGCGGGTGGGCGATGCACAGCTTGTGCAAGACGAAAAAAGTGCAACACCTAGCGAATCGAGTACCACTCCGAAGGCCTTGGACGACACTGCGAGTAGGTTGGAACGCCATAGAGTAAGCACCAAGCTGGGAAACAAACCGAGGATATAAGCAGGTGTGCAAGTCGAGGAACAAGATAGTGGGAGGATACCCAAGCCTGAGCGCAGCCGAGATCAACTTTGGCCATTGGATGTGATCGTAGAAACTCTTAATGTCTAGAATGGTCTGCCCAACAGTAGCCCTTAGTTTCACATAAACTTCCGACTCCAGGACCCGAAGATACGTTTCACGCAAAGCATGGTTCCTTGCAATAGCCGCGTCCCATTCCGAGGTAAGCGACGAAGCCCATTCACGTGCGTATGAATCTCTTGCTAAGCTCCAAACGCGAGATAGCATAGCAATCAGCCCGATCACCCTGTCGCCCCCGTTCTTTTTAGCTAACAGCTTCCCCAAAACTATCATGACTTGCCAGGGCCACGTCATACATTGCTCTATGGCAGCGTACAGTGGCACGAGCTCGGCAAGAGCGCTGTCTGGGAGACGTTCAAAATCAAGCGGAGACAGGCGGTCGATGCCCATCCCAGCCTTCCCTTTCATCCTCCTGACCGCCCTCCTGATGTCCGAGATCTGCGAAGGAAGCAGCGGCGCGAAAACAGCAGCGGCCTTGATCGTGTCAAAGAGCGACTCAATGTCGGCCAAATCTAGCGAATCGGCGGTCCACATCTGCTGCCAGCGCTGTACCTTAAAATCGATTAGGTCCTTGGGGTTGTAAATCATGACACCGTCAACGAGATACTCTTCGGCAGCATGTGGGGCCTTGCGCAGAGATTTAAACACAATCCCCAGAGAGCTTTCCTCAACGATCCAGTCCTTGAACCGTTGTAGGGAAGCGTGAACAGCCTTGCCCCGAGCTCTCTTATAGGCCTTGTCCGAGAAATCATTCAGAATCCCGAGGGTCCCCACTTCGAGAGTCCCAAGATTCCCAAGAAGGTGCAACCAATGATCCCAAGATGGGGCCTCTTTGCACGAGGGAATAAATTGGTGAACCCCGTCAGGAAGATCCCCAAGAAGAGCGCCACAAGACTCGAGACTTTGCTGAACCTGCTGAGACCCATTACCTCGAAGCCTAGGCCGATGGAGCCGTAGGAGTAGCACATGCACTCTAGCCCACCAGCCAGCATTGAGGTCGGCCAAGGGTTGGGACCTGATATGCTCGGGACGCTGTACAAGCTCAACGGACAGAGTAGGACCTTGCCCCCGAGAGAAACCAGCGTGTTGTTTCTCGTGATGTGCCAAAATGGTGCGCTCCGCTGCTTGTGCCCAGGTTGCGAACATACCACTTACAGCAAGAACGTGATCCCCTCCCATCTTGAACGCTAGAGGCGCAGAAACAGCCGGCCACACGTCGGAGAAGGTGTGCTCGAGATACCCAGCACGCTCCCTCTGCTCCGCCCACAGCTGCTCGGGAATGAAATAGGAGGGAAGAGAAGGGGAACACTGAGCAGTGCGACTGTGGACGGCCCCTGGGGTGCAAGAGGAGGCAGACGGGGGAGATGGCTCACTTTTCCGAGTGGCTCTCACCGACTTGGGCCCCCAGGCACTCTAGAGTCTAAACATCTGCCCCGCTCGCTAGATGGTCGAAAGCACGGCTCCGAAGCCCAAGGATCCTCCTCCTCATCAAGATCGCAGCAGGAGGAGGATAACCAGGGCTGGGGTTGAATGAGGATGAGGTGGATGTGGATGAGGCTGAAGTAGAGGCGATCGGGGTGACGTCGGAGCTTGCTCCAGTGATGGACGGTCCGTGCTCTGGGCTCTCCTTTGGAGAGCTCGTGGTCTGAGGCCAGAACGCCAAGGCAAGGATGATGATGATGATGATGCTGATGATGATGATGATGCTGATGATGATGATGCTGATGCTGATGCTGATGCTGATGATGATGATGATGCTGATGATGCTGCTGATGATGATGATGATGATGATGAGGAGGAGGAGGATGATGATGATGAAACGGAGGACGAGGAGGAATCAGCAGGAGGAGGGGGAGGTGGAAGGGGAGGAGGAGGAGGAGGAGGAGGAGGAGGAGGAGGAGGAGGAGGAGGAGGAGGAGGAGGAGGAGGAGGGGGAGGGGGAGGAGGAGGAGGACAACCAGAGGAAACCCAGCATCAACCAACGATGCTGCAATACCGCTTGCCTCCCGTTTCAAGCAGTCTCGGTCATTGCACGAACCCGCCCTCCCCCCGATGGACGAGCGCCGTGTGGCGCCCTGTGTGGCGCCCTTCCACGAAACGGCAGGCGACGCAACGCGCCCTGCACGGCGCCCTGCCACGGGACGGCAGGCACTCGGCCCCGCGGGGGCGCGACACCCCGAAGGACGGGCCCCGCGGGCCCGCAGCTCGCAGCGGGAGCTCGTTCCTCGAGGGCGCCGCCCTGCGTCCCTCGAGCCGCGGCGACGAGGTCAAAGGGGTGCCCAGCGACGGCTCCGCTTCCAAAGGGAACTGGCCCGCATCCGTGCCGCCTGTGTTCGATCAGCCACTGTTGAAGATCACTGCTGCCACATCCACCTGCCTGCCTTCCCGACGCCGTTTCCTGGTGCAGGCCCCCCCCCCGACGCAGAGGACGGGGGGAGGGCTTCGCCTTCTCGACCTGCCCGCAGCTGGGCACGGTCGCATTTGTTCGATCAGCTTGACTTCGGGCCAGGGCGACACGATGGGGCTTCAAGTTCAAGGGGGTGCCCAACGACTGCTCCGCTTCCACGGGGACTGGTCCGCATCCGTGCCGCATTTGCTGGGTCAGCTACATGAAACGAGAAGTCTCAGGCGGGATCCCCATGGTGAAAACTCACAGGGTTTCCATCCGTGTAACTGTTGGGGTTTTGAGCCGAACGTCCGCGGAGCAGCTTGACGCTGAGGACAACGTGCGGGGCGATCGGGAGCCACGTTTGGAAACGACTCGCCCGCCATCCAGAATTTTTATCCCGCCATCCAGTATACGAAAAGTCTTGAGCAAAACGCCTGGCGCACATCTGGTGATGCGACAGGTTGTAATGCAAAGGGATGGAAAGGGGAGGGGAAGGAGAAGGAGGAGGAAAAAGGAGGAGGACGCCGGGAAAGGGGGAAGCGTGGGAGGAGGTAAGATGGGGATGGTGGTGATGATGATGAGGACTGCTTCTGATGGTGCTGATGATGATTCAGGTGATGATGGTGTTGTTGATGGTGATGGTGCTGATGACGATGATTATGATGACGATGATGCTTTGCTGATGGTGATGATCATGAGGGTGGTGGCTGTGGTTGTGATGGTGATGCTTATGGTTATGGTGGTGATGACGATGTTGATGATGCGGATGGCGATGGCGATGGCGATGACGATGACGATGCTGATGCTGATGATGATTAAGATATTGATGGCGATGACAATGACGATGACGATGATGATGTTGTTGTTGATGGAGATCCGGATGATAATGACGATGCCGATGACGATGACGATGACGATGACGATGGCAAGGGTGACGATGATGACGATGACGATGCTGCTGATGTTGATGATGATGGCGATGCCGATGTCGATGCCGATGACGATAACGATGGCGAATATTACGACGACGATGATGATGCTGCTGCTGATGAGGATGCTGGTGATGATGCTACTGCTGCTGATGCTGTCGATGGTGGTGATTATGATTTTGATGCCGATGATGACGACGATGACGATGCCGATGACGAGTATGATGATAGTCTAACATCATGATTGTCATTATGATTTCCACTATTGTTATTGTTACGGCTGTTGCATGTTATTTGTATGATTCTTTGGGTTTTTGGTATCATGATTCTTATCATTTTTTGTTTCGATGATGATGGCGCTTTTGTTGATGAGGGTGAGGTGGAGGATGATGAGGACTCCGCCTTGTCCTCCGCCGCCAGGGGCGTCCAGATGACCGCGGCCGTGAGGTTGTCCGTCACGTCGGTTATCGTGGTGGTTTGCTTAGGGACCGCGGAGATTGTCGGCTCGCTTGGTGTTGTCCTGGACTTCAACGGCGCCTGCGGGGGGGGGCAACATCAGTATGAATCATCATCTTCAGAAAATGGGTGATCGATTTTTTTGAGGTTCGTGGATCGAGGCCATGAGCGTTGTTGTGTCTCAAGACGGCTTCCCGTCGCAATGGACGGAGTGCCCTCGAACTGTATGCAGACCGCATGCCTGTGCGGTAGGTTCATGCGGCGATGGCGCGCTGGTGACGCCAGCGAATGCGTTCAAGGTTCAATTCTGCGACGCGGAAGCACCGAGGTACACAATGACGCCACTGGACCCGAAGGAGTTCAACCTTGAACAATCGGGGCCACGATCGATTCAAGGTTGAACGATCCACGCGGTATCAAAAACCTTGCGCGTGCCGACGACGCGCGAATCCATCCTAGATGTCTGGTTGGCGGCTTTTGAGAAGCCACATGCAGCACGACGAGAAAGGTTTCTGGAGGAAACGGGCCCTGAAGGCGACGGCGACGACGTCTTCGTTCCTAAGGTTGCTGCTGTTGTTCCTATTCTTCTGGAGACCCTCGTGTCGAGCGGATTTCCATCGAATGTCGTGAAATAGTGTGCCCTAGGAGTGTTCAGAAGTTTCCTTGTCATTTTCAGGCTCCCACGGCTCCCGTGCCTCTCCGCAGGCCCCGGGGCCGTTGAAGAAACGACTCGGGACGAGCAGCTGTTTTTTTGGGCCTCAGGCCGCCTCGACGGGGTGGAACTAACAACGCAGGAAGTCTGAGCGGATGAACAAGAGACGGGGGTGATGAGGAGGAAGGGAGGGAGGGGGGGAGGGAGGGAGGGAGGGGGGGAGGCAGGGATGGAGGGAGGGAGGGAGGAAAGGAGGAGGAGGAGGAGCAGGAGGAGGAGGAAAAGGAGGATGAGGAAGAGGAGGAGGATGAGGAGGAGGAGGAGGAGGAGGAGGAGGAGGAGGAGGAGGAGGAGCAGGAGGACACGCAAGGTCTTCGAGGAGGAGAGGAGGAGGAGGAGGAGGACACGCAAGGTCTTCGAGGAGGAGGAGGAGGAGGAGGAGGAGGAGGGGGAGGACGGACGAATCCGACGACGACGACGGGACCAAATCGCCCCCCCTCCCCCCCTCGCAGAGGCGCTCTGTTCGGCACCCCGGTCAGCTACATCTGGCCCATGGCCATGTACCTGGCCCTGCCTAGGAGCAGGCAGCGGCGGCGGTGGAGGCCAGGCGATCTGGGCTCCTCTGCTCGCAACGTCCCCGATGTCGTACTTTTTGGAAGGCAGCCCAGACAGCTGGCGCGTCGAAGAACTGGAGGCGACTGGTTTGTCGGCATCCTTGGCGCTCGAGTCTGGTCTCGGCACGATCGAGCTAGGTACGGAGAGAGCGGATACGACGCCCGACACCAGTTCATGTCCACTTTGAACAGGGTTCGCTGTCGGCGTCTTTGCGGCCGCTGTCCATTCGATGCAGAAGGCCGCCTGCCCGATAGCGGCGGGTGCCGGTTTTGGACAACATTTGTTTTCGTGCATCGTGCTCATTTTTGTCGTACCCGTTTCGGGCGTCCAGGTGGTGCTGGGCTCCCGTGCCAGGCCGTCGAAGAAGGAGCCAGGGCAAGACCCGGCCCCGGGGCAGGGGCCGATCGTCCAAGGGCTCAGCGCTTCGACGAGCCCGAAGCGCCAGGCGTGCGGCAACGTGGGCCCGCGGACCCGCGGAGCTCTGGTCGGCGGCGAGCGGAGGGCGGAAGCGAGAAGGAGGAGGCCTTCCCCAGGGGGACAAGAAGTGACACAAACACAAAAACTCGGAGGTCCGCACGGATTTCTCGGATCGGCGCTGGGCCCCCCAGCGGCACCTCCGGCGCCGCCCCCGGCGCGCTCCGCGCGCCAGGGAGGGGGGTCCAGCGCCGATCCGAGAAATCCGCGCGGACCTCCGAGTTTTTAATGTTTATGTCGTCCCTTTTTGTTTCCCTAGAGAAGGGGGAGGCCTTCTCAGAAGGCACGGAAGAACCCCGGCATTCTAAGAAGTCTCTTCATGCCTTCCCCGAAGACGACAAAACGTATACTTTGTGCGCGTGGACCTTTCCGCCGTGAGTGTCTAGGCGCAAGAGTTTTCGAACACAAGCGGGCTCGAGTATTGACAGTCTGGGAGTGAATCTAATTGTGAATGAGTTGGAGTGTGAGTGGGTCTCAGTAGTACGAGTGAGTGCATGCGCATGAATCTGAGCATGTCTAAGCTTGGGACGGGTGTATCTGCACGTCAGCGGCCTGAGCATGACTGAGCGTGACCGAGTCGAAATGGATTCGCGATCCCTCCCTTCATGATGAAGCAAATAATAGGAGGGGTGCTCATGCAAATGCCGTGCGAAACCCTTTGCGCTTCGCTGGCTGGCCCAGAAGATCTCACGCAGTGGCTGGACCGTGATACAACCAGTCACGCCACGGAGAGGAGATGCCCGATCTATACGAACATAGGCAAATCACAGGATTGGAATTACCCCAGTGCGACCCTACCTAGAAGTTGGAGCCCCTAGGAGAGCAGCATTAGTTGCTATGCTATGCTATGCTATGCCATGCAATGCTGCGCTATGCTATGCTATGCTATGCTGCGCTATGCTATGCTATGTTATGGTATGCTAAGTTATGCTGTGTCGTGCTGCGCTGTGCTATGTCAAGCTATGCTCTGCTATGATATGCTATGCTAAACTGCGCTATGCTATGCTATGCTATGCAATGCCATGCTATGCTATGCTGCGCTACACTATGCTATGCTATGCTTGGTTATATTATGTTATGTTATGCTATGCTAATGCAGCGCTGCGCTATGCTGCTAAGATGAAGCTAAGCTAAGCTAATATGAAATATGCTAAGCTAAGATGAGATAAGCAACGCTAAGCTAAGGGGACGTAACTGGGGGAACCGCGGGGCGGATACTGGGGGAACCGCCCGGGGCGCTTCCCACCGGCCCTTTAAGCCCAGAAAGTAAGAACCCTTCTAGGCAGAGCCTAGGTAGGGAACCACAGGAGAGGGCGCCCTTCGATTTTTCGATTGCCGATCTTCCGACGACTCGATTTGTCGATTTGTCAGCTCCAGTAGCCCTCTGGCCAGTTTTTCATCCCGATTAGTTTTCATGATCCCAGGGCCTGGAACTGGTTTCCGAATGTCGAAAGTTGCGTCAATTTTCCAAGGCCGACTTTCTTGAGTCGCGAGGAGGCCTTCCGAGGTCTCCAAAGCTCGCTGGGGTTTCCTGTGGCCCCGCAGGGGCCCAAAGGGTACCCGCCAGTTGCTCGGCCGCCCTGAGGCTTTTCAGCTTCGCCTGCGTGCTGCTGGGGCTGTTCTTCGGCCTCATGGGCCTCGTGGTAGCCAGCATTGGTCGGACTGGTCGAAGACCAGGGCGGGTCACTTACTCCTGCCATCGTCGTTGCCGTCGCCGTCGCCGTCGCTGTCGCCGTGAGTCGTCGTTGTTTTCGTCTTCGTCGTCGTCTGCGTCGTCGTCGTCGTCGTCGACACCATCGTCGTCGTTGTCGTCGGAGGTCATCGTCGCATGTCGTCGTCGTTGTCGTTGTCGTTGTCGTTGTCGTCGTCGTCGTCGTCGTCGTCGTCGTCGTCGTCGTCGTCGTCGTCGTCGTCGTCGTCGTCGTCGTCGCAGGTCGTCGGTCGTCGTCGGAGGTCGTCGTCGCAGGTCATCGTGGCAGGTCATCGTGGCAGGTCATCGTCGCAGGTCATCGTCGCAGGTCGTCGTCGCTGGTCGTCGTCGGCGTCGGCGTCGTCGTCGTCGTCGTCGTCGTCGTCCGACACCCTCGGGGGCTACCAGAGGCCTCGGAGGACTTTCCGAGGACCCGCAGGGGCCTCCAGACACCTCCCGGGGGGGCGTCCCGTCGCACCCCGGAGGGGGGCCCTCGGGAGCCTCCGAGGACCTGGCACGGGCCCCGCGCGCGCGCGGGCACGGCGCTCCGAGCGGGTGCCTGGGCGGGCCTCGTGAGCTCGCGGTGCCCCCAGGTGTCGCCAGAGGCGAGCGCTGAGCGGGGCCTCGTCCGCCGCCGTGGCCGCCGCCGAGGCCGCCGACGCGGCCGCGTGCTGACGCTCGGCCCTGCCGCCGCCACGTGTCACCTGACCTGTCTTCACGAGATGCCGTCGCGTGCGCGCACTCACCGCTTGCCAGCCTGCGTGTCTGAAGCCCGCATGTTTGAAGCGTTTGTGGGCATTTTTTTTTGTCAGTCTCCCATCTCAGCAGGAGGTTGGCCGATTCGGCTGCCTGCGTGCCGTGGAGGCCTTTTGCGATCTGGGCGACCTGAGAGTGTAGCTCAGCTTTTCCGAGGTATTCTAGAGACTTGCGCCATCCCGTCGACCCCCAGAAAGGGGGGTTCACGATGTCATGGGTTGCCCAGGTGCCCCAGGGAGCGCAACAATTGAATGATGAGCATGAGGATGAGGCGAAGCAGCGGCAGGATGATTATTATGATTTTGATGCTGATGACGATGGTGATGATGATGCTGCTGATGATGATGGTGATGATGACGATGGTGATGGTGATGGTGATGGTGGTGAAGGATGGTGAAGATCATGATCAGGAGGAGGAGGAGGAGGAGGTGGATGAGGACGAGGAGGATGAGGACAGAAGGATGCGGAGGATGGGCTAGGCTTATGATGAGGAGGGCGAAGCGAAGGAGGAGGAGGAGGCGGAGGAGGAGGCGGGCGAGGAGGAGGAGGAGGAGGAGGAGGAGGAGGAGGAGGAGGACTATGGGCCAAGGGCGGAATACCGAGAGGCGTGGCCGAGAGTTCCCGGGGCCCTCGCCGCCAAATGCACGCCTCGGGCTTGCACCCCTCGGCCGATGACGCTGGAGCCTCGGCGGCCCTGTGCCGATCGGAGCGGGCCCTCGCACCCCCCCCCCACCCCGTGGAGTAGATCTTGGCTGTGCTTGGCGCCTGTTTCTGTTTCGAGCAGGTGGAGTCTCCCCCACAGGACGCACGGTTCCCAACAGTCGCACCAAGCAGAGGTTTGGAGCCAGGCGCCCCCCCTCCCTCCCCTTCCGCCCAGTGTCGAAACGCCAAGTAGAAATTCGTTCACGACCGCCTTGGGGGCTCCAGAGGGTGGTTCTGATTTGCGGGCCGCTCCTCAGATCCAGTTCGGTAGCAAATCATGGGACCCTGGTATACCCTCTTAATTCTGTCTTTAGCGTCGATTAGCGTCTGGGAGTCGGCGAGATAGCGCCGATTTACCGTCGGCTAGCGTCGATTCGCGTCGACTTAGCGTCGATTTAGCGTCGATTCGCAAGAGCCGACAATATAGTATGGAAGTTTCCCATGAGTTGCCACCGGAGATCCAGATCGGGGAATGTATTCGTGGCCGAGGCTCGGTGTGGCCACAACAAGCCCCCGCGTTCCTTATTCTCAAGGGGCTTCTGCCATTCCGCCGACCCCTCCAAGGAGTGAGTGCTTGAGACGATCTTGGAAGTACATCTTGGGTCAGGAGCCTCCTGGATGAATCAGAGGGTATCTTGGGATGCCTCTCTGGGGCTCTTGGAATATCTTGGGGGCATGTGGGAGGTGGCCTCTGGAGGGCTTCTCGGGGGCGTCTTGGAAGCCTTTTGGGGCCTCTTGGAGGTCTCTCGGGGGCCTCTGCGGGGCTCTCGAGGGGCCATCTCGGTGGGAAAGGCTCGAAATATCAGTTCGTATTCCCCCTCTTGGGCTTTCTTGGAGCCCTCTTGGGGCCCTCCAGGGGCTGTCTTGGGCCGTCTTCGGGGGCCCCCGGGGCTGTGTGTTGGGCCCTCTTGGACTGTCTTGGGTCCTCGTGGGCCATCTTGAAGCCATCTTGGATCGTGATGACGCTCTCTTCGACTGTCTTGGCGCTCTGTCGGGGCCCTGTTGGGCTGCCTTGGGGCTTTTCGGGGGCCCTGGAGAGCCCCAGGAATGGTTGGCGACCTCGCCCCCTCTCCCCCCCTCCCTAATCGGATTGCGGACCCGAGGGGAGGGGGAAAGGGGGAGGGGGACAGCCAGGTGTCTCACACGCCTACTGGCAAGCGGGGGGTCGGCGGAGACAGCCCCCCTCTGTCCCTCATGACGTGCGCGTTCCCCATGGTAGCACGATGGCTGTGGCGTTGACAAGTCTCCAAGGTCATCGAGCTGGCCTCACTGTGGCTGAGGACGACGGAGCGATGCTGCTCTCTTGACTTCTGGACCCGGCAGCCTGAGGAGGCTGCGGCGTCGGCGCCGGAAGGTGAGCGCGCCGCCATTTGCCAGGCTTAGGTGCAGGATGGCGCCCGGGCGTGGCCTGGCGGTTGTCGTCCGCAAGTGGTCGATTCGCCCTCACCGCCCCACAGCTCGGACCGTGCCATGAGGATGGCTCGCGGCGCGGGTTCGGTGAGTCAGCGCGCGCGGGCTGCCATCACATCCGTCCTCGCCTCCACCTCCATCCGATCCTTTCTTCGAAGAAGGAAATCGCCATAAGCATAAACTTTTTGGCGCTCCGCGCGGATTTCTTGGACCCGCGCTGGGCACCCGCCCTGTGCGCGCTCCGCGCGCCAGGGAGGGGGTCCTTGCCCAGATCCAGGAAATCCGCGCGGCGCGCCAAAAGTTTGTGCTCATGGCGTCTTTTCTTCTTCTACACAGCTGGCTGCCATCTCGTCGCTCCCTCGCCCACAGCCGGGCTCTGACCGATGCCTGGAGGCCCGCACCCTCCGTGCGTCGCGACCGCAGCGGCGGGCGCCGCGGCGGCACCTGCTGCGCGGAAGGTTCGGAGTGTGGGGTCCAGGGGGAGGGTGCGCCTCGTCCTCCACCGGCTCCTGCTCCCCCTCCTGCCCCCAAAGGGCTCCCCTGAAGTCGGGCCTGTCCCTCTCAACAGGAGGAAGATTCAAGAATAGTCAAAAATAGCCTGGGGACTATTTTTTTTGAAGATTTCTTGACCATTCTGGAGTACTTTTTGAGTATTTTGTAGTTTTCGTCGAAAATCCCCCTGTAGGGGGACACGCCCGACTTAAGGCTCCCCCTCGCGCCCCATGATGTCTTGAGCCCTTCGTGGCACGGCCCCGGGGCCCACAACGGGCGCCATCCGGCGGGGCCTCGGGCCGATAGGAACGGACCCGGGAGGAGTCGGATATAGCCGGGCCCCCGGGTCAGGGGAGCCGGTCGGAGACGCCGGGAGCCTGGAGACGGGGGTCAATGCAAACGGGGGTCGGCCAGGGCACCGGATCCTGCAGGATCCTGCGAAGACCCCCTCTGGCTGACCCGGGTGAGCGAGCCGCTCGTGGCCGCGAGGCGGCCGCGCATATTGGCTGACCCGGTTTTGCGAAGACCTGCGTTGCAGTTTTTTTTTTCATGCATTGCAGTTTTTTGGTTTCCTGCTGACCCGCTGACCCGGGTCTGGATTGACCCGGGTCATAAGATCCCCGAAGAGATATGGGTTCCGAGAAGCATCACTAAACCGAGTCTGCCGCAGCTGGTGCTTCCTCGGGTGACGGCAGTTCTGGCTAGTGGAATGGAGCGGGGGGACATCACTGAAGCGGGCCCCAGGGAAACTAGTCCTGCGATCGCTCGAATGAAGCTGGTCCCCGGGAAGAGGCCGAGCGGTCTGGAGACCTTCGTGTGGGCCCTGTGCTGAAGGAGCTAAGCCTCAAAAGGCACCGTGTCTCTCAGGAGCTCTGCTGCCTTCTGAGAAGCCCACCCCATCCGTATCGTGGAACCGATCCCTATCCGCATGCCTCGGAGGAGGAAGGGGTACCCAAACTGCTGCCCCTGCCTCGTGTTCCCCCTGGTTGAGCCTCCTGGGAGTCGCCTCGAAATCCTGGCCAGAGCGCAGCGGTATCGGTTACGTCTGGTTTCCCAGTCCCCATCCCCATCCCGACCCCCACTACCCAACCACCCCAGTTGGGGATGTGCCTCTCGAGACCCAAAGAGAACAGCCTATATCCCAATCTAGGGGGGGTAATCAGCCAGTGGGGCCCAGGCCACGCCCGTGGGGATAGGGATTGGTTCAACGATGCTCACCCCAGGAGCTTCTGAGAGGGGTCCGGTCTTCAGAAGCTCATGGCCCTGACCCACTGAGTGCTCCGCCTTTCTTTGCGAGGACGCCGAAATAAGGGCCACCTTGGGCCCAGGAGGGTTCTGATTTTTAGGGTCGCTTCTCAGACTCATGTCGTTCAGGAGGGGAAAAAGACACAGACACAATTAATCGTCGATTCCCCAGAGAATATAGGAAAATATGGGAAGTGGGGGGGAAGAGAAAAACTCAGAAAAGATGGGAAAATATGGGGAATCCTTTTATTTGTGTGTATTGATTTGCGTGTCCCTGGGCCCCTTTGAGTGGAACCTGCTTGTGGCCCAGGCCCGCCGTGGCCAGAGGCGCCCCCTCGTTCCCCACCGCTGCGCTCCTCCCGGCGGTGCGATGACTGTGCGGTGCCCCTCCGGCCCCACCAGGGTGGCGACGCGCGCTCGGAGACGGGAACATCTACAAGGGCGCCCTCGAGGGCGCGAAGTTATTCGCGCTTCGCGCTTCGCGCTTCGGCTCCGATTCCTCCTCGTCCACCTCTTCTCCCCCGGGAGGTGGCGCGAGGGCGCGAAGTTGTTCGCACTTCGCGCTTCGCGCAGCGCGAAGCGCGAAGTTGGGAGCCCTTGATATACATTACCAGTGGCGGGCGTTTTTCAATCCCAGAACTTTATACTATTTTTTCCCGTTTCCCCGGGGAAGCAGCGAAACATGTATACACCAGGATCTGGTATACACCAGGATCCGCTTTCTTGTGCGAATCCCAGCGCGGGGCCGTAGAAAACGTCGGTGTACAGGGTCCGGTCCCTCACACGCAGGCCCGCCCCTGGATGTCTCCACACGCCTCGGGCCGGCCGAGGACGCCACTGAGCTGCTCTCCTCGAGTCGAGCTGCGGCGTCGGCAGTGGAGTGCGCTTGGCTCGGAGGTCGTTCGGTGGCTCGGCGTTCTTCGCTTCTTTCCCCGGGGTCCCGGCTGAAAGTCCACGCCTCTTTCTCCGAGACAAGATGCGCGCTCCCGAGAGCCCTCGAGGGCAGCAAGGCCTTGACTGGTCCCCGAAGGTCCAGGGTGTTTCTGCGGAGGTCTCCGGACGCCCAGAGAAGGGCAGAAGGCCACTGGGAGCCTCCGGAGCCTCTGCTCGGTTCCGAGGCGGGGATCCAGCTGTGGCCATTCTTGGGTCGCGCCTTGCCCCAGAGGCTCGATCCGCAAGCGCGCGCGGGGCATGGTGTGTTCGCAGTGCGGTCGTGCAGGGGGGCAGTTTCGGATTCCCTCCTCCTGCTCTTTCTGCCTCCCCCTTCTGTCCCATCTCTCATCTCCTCTCCTCGGTCCTCTTCAGTCCTCCTCCCGCTCTCCCTTTCTCCTCCTGCTACTCCTGGTCTGCCTCAGCCTCGTTTTTCTGCTTCTTGCGTCTTCTGCTATTGCTAAGGCCTTACGGCCAGTGCCGCCGACCCTGACGACGACGACGACGAATACGAGAAGGAGGAGGAGGAGGAGGAGGAGGGGGATTTAGCTTTGGATCGACGCGCGCGCTTGCTGTTGGATCGATGACTCTTGCTGTTGGATCGACGCGCTCGCACCGCGGTGCTGCCCCGTTGTTCTTGATAGCGATGTCGCCTCGACTAGTGCCGCCGCGCGCTGGCCGGCAGCACGGCGAAGGGAGGTATTGGAACTCACCGGTTATGCTGCGTCCCCACCTGCCATGTCGGCACAGTCATTATTAACGCTCCCGTCGCTTTCTTTGGCTGCGCCGCTATTACCCTCCAAAGGAAGGGGATTAAGGTGGAAGGGAGCAGGAGAAGGCTAAGGAGATGTTTCCCATGTTGGCCGAGAGAGCCGTAGCAGAGACAGGCAGGGAGCTTTGTGGCCTGCGGCCCTTCTCGCCACCGTGCTGGGGTTGTGGTTGAAAGGCCTCTTGGATGTTTTCGGGCCTGTTGGGGCCTCTGTTGGGCCTCTTGGGGGTCTCTTGGGAGCCTCTTCAGGCCCCTTGAGGGGCTCTTGGGGCCTTCTGGGGGCTTCTTGGAGCGGGAAGCTCGAAATGTCGGTGCGTGGCCCTCTTTTGGGGCCTGCTTGGGGCCCTCTTGGGGCGTCTTGGCGTTTTTTGGGGCTCCAGGACGCCCAGGGGCGGATGCGTATCTGACCCCCCCCCGCCCCCCGGACCCCCCCCCGGACCCCCCCTTAGGACCCCCCCCCCTCGGCGAGGGAGGGATCAAAGGGAAGGGGCTTCCCTTCGACTTAGTACGACGTTGCTACGGCTTTCTTTCGCTGGCAGACTTGAAGAGGAGGGTGCAGGGAAAGGGGACGACGGAGACGCAGGGAAAGAGGACAACGGATGCGTCGATTGAGCGCACGCCGACAGGGGGTCCACACGCCGACAGGGTCGGCGGATCCCTCTTACGCTTCCCCCTCTCTGTTCTTCCCTCTGCTGCTGCTCCTCTCCCTCCCACCTTCTCCTCCTCGAGGCGGCCGGCGGCGCGCTCCTCGCCTCGCACGCGGCCTCCGGGCTGGCCGCCGCGCGCTCCCCTGCGGGTGTGCGGCTGCTGCGAGCGGCCGAGGGGGCTCCTCCGCGCGGGGGTGGCCGTGCTCGGCGCCCTGGAGGCGCTGCCTCCGCCTGCGCCCGACGCCGCCAAGGCCACGGCTCGCCTTCGGCGGTGCCGACGGCGGCGCGGGCGCGGCGGCGCGGGCGGCGCTCCTGGCGGGCCCGTGGAGGGCAGTGGCGAAGCGACGGCGGTCGAGACGGTGGATGTGGCAGCGGCGGCGGACGCGGCGATGGCGGTGGCTGCGCCTGCCCCGTCCGTGCTGGCGGTCGACGGCAGGGTCGCGGAGGGCGCGGGCGCGGTCGCCCCGCCTTCGCTTCTGGAGGAGGACGCCTGGGCGGACGAGTTCCCCGCGCTGCCTTGTGGGCGGATGGCGGCGGACGCCACTGACGCGGGCGGGCTGGTGCTCTCGGCGCGGCTGAGGGCGAAGTTCGCATCAGCGACGGCGGCGCATGACACACATCGCATCACCGCCATCATCAAGGAGGCCGGCGGGGTGGTGGCAGTGGTAGACTGTAGGGGCCTGGGCCGTTTTGCGGCTAGGGCGCCGTGCGCCCCCACCCCACGCTCATGGCGCTCGTCTTCGGCGTGCACCTGGTGGTGCCCCTTTGGGGCGCCGCCCTCCATGCTCTTGTTGCTGGGGGCCGTCCGTGACCCCCTCCCTCTCTCCCTCCTCCTCCCTCCTCCTCCTCCCTCGTCCTCCCACTCCTCCTCCTCCTCGTCCTCCCACTCCTCTCCTCCTCCTCCTCCTCCTCCGCCTCCTCCTCCGCCCTCCTCTCGCCTCCTCCTTCCTCCTCCTCGTCCTCCGCTTCTCCTCCTCCTCCTCCTCCTCCTTCCTCTCTCCCTCCCTGCTTCCTCCCCTTCTCTCTTCCCTTCTCCCCCCCTCCCTCCCCCCCTCTGTGATCTCTCTTCCCCTTTCCTATCTTATCCTCGTCCTCTCTTTTCTCTTCGTCGTCCGTTTTCTCCTTCCTCGTCCTATTTCTCCCTCCTCGTCTTCGTTGTCGTCGCCGCCGCCGACGCCGCTGTCGTCGTCGTCGTCGTCGTCGTCGTCGTCGTCGTTCTTGTCGACGTCGTCGTCGTCGTCGTCGTCGTCGTCGTCGTCGTCGTCGTTGTCCGCCAGACCAG